TGCCAGAGTCACCATGACCATCCAGTTGTACCATCTGATTGAGTGAACTGCATTCATTCTCAGCTTTAACTGACAAAATTTTTATGTGACTTCCTCCAGTCTCAAGGGAAAATAAGCCCTAGAGAGGGAGAAGTGAGGTAGGAAGCAGAGAGTTGTACTATAAAAAGGTGATTTTTAAAAATCCTCTGTGCTTTCAGAAATGATAAAAGCAAAGAGCTTTGACATCTCCCACTAGGTTAGTAGAGCTTCTCGACAGGGAATTGTCTGCTCTGTTCTGTGGCACTTTATTTATGTTCAGTTACTCATTTGACACCTCTATCTTCTTCAAAACTTGAGGGTTGGGTACTCTAGAGTATCCGGGGCTCCAGTCTAACTAACCCCGTGTATAGATGTTTTTTAAGCGTTCTTTCCTATTAATAAATATCTGAAGCAGGTTAATATCATGCCACCTCTTTACCCCTGCATTTTTATGTAATCGATTAATAGAAAAGCAAGTAGAAACTTCCCTGTCTATACACAACCTAAAAAGACTTTCCCACAGACCACCTTTTCTCAGAGTAATTTTCAGATGATCCCCATGAGGAAGGGAAAACTCCCATCTATTTATGCTTTTTCAAATTCCATTTCCTTCATGTCCCAAATCAAGCCAGACGCCTCATTGTCCTGACACACAATGCCCAGTAGAGGCGGCATGCCACGGCACCCATCACTCACAATAGCGCATCACTCAGAGCCATTACCCAGCAATTCTGAGCATCTTTTAAAGAGCAGGCTCAGGAAAACCATTTCCATTTTTCCAACTCAGTACTTAGATTGAAACAAATATTGTCTATATCCTAAATCAAAAATGGCATTCACTCTCTCTCTCACTCAGCACATCTTTATTGACGGCTTCCATATGTATAGAGGCACCCGTTAGGCCTTAGGGGCGCACTACGTGTCAGGCGGACTCAGCCCTGGCTCCCTGGGTCGCTGGCAGCAGAGCCTGGTTACACAAACAAATGTGTACTCCTGAACTTTGAGAAGAGCCCTGACAGCGGAGCATGGAATGTACAGGAGCCTAACAGGGTCTAAGACCTGACCCGGTCTGGGAATGAGCAGTGAGCTGCACTGAGGAGGTGGGCTTACACTGCTAGTTCCAAAATGGTCAGAGACCCCCACAGGGAGGAGGGAGTGGGGAGATCCACACAGAGCTGACCGGCATGTTTAAGGAACTGAAAGCAAGCCGGAGTGGCCTCTTCTCCACAGAAGGACAGGGTCAAGGTGAGGCTCCTTCAGTTGATGAGGACCAGAGCTATCAAGGGCTTCTCAGAAGAGCAATGGATGTTATTAATGGATTAGAGTGAGGAGCAATGTTTTCAATGTGTGTGTGTGTGTGTGTGTGTGTGTGTGTGTGGTTTGTAGGGATTGAACCCAGAGCCTTCACACTGAACCATATCCCCAGCCTTTTCCAAAAAAAATTTTTTTAAATTTTGAGATAGAATCTAAGTTGCTAAGTCAGGACTTGTAATCCTCCTGCCTCGGCCTCCCAGAATCCCAGGATTAAAGGTGTGTGTCACCGTGTTTGTGTTTTTTAGGGTTCTCTCACTCTCATGGGGGAGACTGGACATGGGGAAACCAGCTAAAAGGTGTGTGAGCCATGGTGTCTGATGTTCCACCGTTGGGGCTTGCTGATCCTGGAAAGACCGTCTCTCCTGGGGCTGACCAGTGCCTGATGCTAGCTGATTTCTGGTTTTCAGTGGCAAAACAACTAGCCCAACACGCGCAGCCTGACTACCTCCTTCATCTAGATCTTACTGTTTGCCCTAAACACCCAGGGCCAGGAACTAGAGAAGTAAAGAAAGGTCCTATTCTCCAGAGCCCGACAGAGGTAACCCTTAGCCTGCCTTGCCCGCTCCATCCCACGGATGTCACAGTAGGGTCTCTTCTTCAGCCCTGCTGTCCCTGTGTGCTCCCCATGTGGCCGGGATCCAGTTCCAAGGGATCCATGTTTCTTCCCATGACAACCAACCTCTGTGTCCACTCGTCTTAGCACACCTGACGAATACAAATGCCAGGTACACTGCAGAACACACAACTGCCAGGGAAACCCTTGTGATTTCCAGTGGGGCCTCAGACTAGGGATGGTCACAGTGAGGAGGAATAAAAACAGTCAGTCCCATAGGAGGTGAGATGAGTTAGGTACGTGTGTCTAGGACGACCCCTAGATTTATTTAACTAACTGGAAGACAATGCCTCATACACAGGCAATCGAGAAGGAGGACCGAGCCTGAGAGGAGAGAATGACGTGTGAAATGTGTTCTCAGGACAACCAGATGCAAATGTTGTGTGGACAGGAGGATTTAAGCTCCCATTCAGAGAAGGAACCCAACTCGCTCACCCAACCACTCAAAGACACGGCTCTGAAGCAGTGATTATTTATAGACTGTGATTTTTTTTTTCCCTAATATATCACATTTCTGGTTGATGTAAATGACACTTTAAAATGGGAAACATTACTATATTTATATCTTACTGGTTGTGAAAACTTAACTTTCATACGCTGCAGATGCTGTTTGATACACATCTGTCTGCCTACTGTCCACGTCAAGCTCAAATCCATTCTGATGGGGAAGCGTTCTCCAAACTTGAGCCAAATTGCCTCAAAGCACCTTTCCTTCTCTGAGCTGTGAGCACGGTACTTCCTTTCATGTGACAAGGAATCACACTGTCAAGCCCTCCTGACTTACCCTAATAATCACACTTACTCGAGTCACACTGCAACACAAGCTGCTCTTTGAGTGACCTGTAATTTTATAGGATGGAAAAAGTAACAGTTAAGGGGGAAATTCCAACTTCACTGTTATTCTTGTAATTGGACAGTTCCTTAAAGTTTCAGGGTAAAAGTAGGGAGACCAACAGGGTGGCGTATTTTCCCCCTCCCTTGCAACTCAAACCACAGAGGTGCTGAAATAAGAATTCTACTACTATTGTTACTTCCAAGGAGATTTGAGTTTGTTTTGTTTCATCATCTGTGTTTTGAAAGGTCTTAATGAAAAGTAACTTCTGAAGTCATTGTTGTCCAGCTCGGTTTTGCCTGAGGAAAAGAACAAAGTCTATATATCTTCAGAAAGAACCGAGATTCTTCCACCATGAGTCGTACTTAGGATGCTGAGCTTGGATTGGTGAGAAATCAGTGCCATCTGCAAGCAGCAGCTAAGACTTAGGCAGCATGGTTGTCCAAACATAGCCAGAAATGTAAGGATGTAACCCAGTGTTTACGGTTTCCTAAGGGGATATAAGCGGACAGATGCAACTAGCAGTTGTACTGGTGATGTATGATAGACCCCAGTGAAATCTTCTCACAAATCACTTTGGGAAGGTTGTGCGGTCAAAATAAGCCAGGTAGGGGCTGGGGATTTAGCTCAGCGGCAAAAGCGCCTGCCTGGCATGCGTAAGGTCGTGAGTTCGGTTCCCGGTACCGGAGAAAAACCAAAAAAAAAAAAAAAAAAAAAAAAAGCCAGGTATTTATCCACAGGCGAAAGGAGAAAAGAATTCTAAGTTCATTTTATCTTGTTTCTGTTGACTATGGCAATGGAAGGGAACATCTACAGCATAGCATCACCTGGGAAAAATAACAGCAATACAGAAGTTTTAGCGCTCTCACAATGAATTGGGTGGCATATCATGGGTCTTACTTAAATTATCTGATTTAATCTTCATTACAACCCAATAAACCAATTAATGACATTATCCTCATAAGAGAAAATAAATACACGTGCTAAGATAGAAGCTGAGGGGTATTACTTTGCAAAATTACCCATCAGAAAATGTTGATCCATGTTCAATACCTCAGAAAATCTTGCAAGTATCGGAGGAACTTCTTTTAGTTACTAAATTGTGAACAACAGAACAGTTTGAGAAAGACGCGTTTACTTAAAACAGTGACAATTAGTGCAAGTTTGGGGTGCTAATGAAAGTAATCTGGTTGAAAAAACCGTTTATCACAGATTTATTAACTACTTCTGAGAAGCAACTGATAAAGATCTCAAATCTTCTTTAGTCACTCTTACAAAGTCATAATGAACATAGCGAGTGAAATGAAATTAAATATCCACTTCCTATCATTATGCAAATACATGTGTAGGTGATGGGATAAAATTTTTAGTGACCACATCGAGCACAGATTTGAAAACTCTAGACCCTCACACCATTTAAACAGATGTGATGATTTGCTCCAAAATTTGTGCCAGTGCTTGGGAAACACCCCCCACATGAAGAGGACACTGATATGAAGGTTGCTCAAGAAGAGTATGAATTACCGTATTATAGAAGTGTTAGACTAGAGGGAAAAAGCCATACTTCTGAATTTATTTTAGCTCACATATATAGAATTTTAAAAGACAAATGTCAAAGCTGGGCGTGGTGGTGCACGCCTGTAATCCCAGCCCTTGGGAGGCTGAGGCAGGAGGATCATGGTGAGTTCAAGGCCACCCTGGACTAAAAAGTGAGCTCAAGTCCAGCCTGAACTGCAGAGCAAGACCCTGTCTCAAAAAGACAAATGTCGTTGTATAAGCATTACTAATCATGTCTTTCTGATCTCTAACAGCCGCAGTGGAGTATGCCAAAGGAGAAAGGGTGAGGTAGAGGGGGTGGGAGGCTGAATGAGAGGATAGGAATGAACTTTCAGAACTTTATCACAGAGATCCAGTTGTGCTTGTCTTGAACTTTTCTGGGATCCTTCCAGCGTGCCAGACACAAGACAAAGTCCATGCAGGTCACACAGACTGTTATTCTTGTACTTATTATCCACTCTGCCCCGTAGGTTAGAAACCTTGGAGATTAAATAAAAATAAAATAATAGCAATTGTATACTTGATTCCAGGGGCCATTTGAGGTGCTTTTTGTTTTTAAATATCCTTTGATTTCTGAAACAGTGCTGCCACATGTAAATGATCAGTATGATCAGTACGATCACTCTTCAGTGAAAAAATTGAGGTTTAGGAACCTACCAAAGCTACACAGTAAATGATCCAATCAAGTTTCAAAATCCATGGAGTCTGCTGCCCGAGTCCGTGCTCTTCAGCCATTGGCTCTGCTGCCCCTCCACGCCTCCTCCTCTCCACTCCTCCCAGGACAGAGCTGATCCCCCCGCTACAGCTGGTAGAGAGGACCAACCTGCATGAGATCTAGCTAATGTATTTGTGGAATAGTAAAGAGGAATGGAAACATTAGAGTATTAATTCTTACCTTTTCAGCAATGCAACTTCCTTCTGATCTCTGATAGAATCTACAAAACCTCTCCATACAGTCACAAGTTCTGCATATACCTTGAGGAGCTTCGCAGCCTATCCAGAGGTCCCAGTACACAGACCCTTGAACAAGACCAATATGAACACAATTAACAGGCACTTCCAGTGAAGAACTAGATTTTGAGCAACGGTGCCCCCAGAGAAGGGTAATTTTTTAGAGAGGCAGGGGTGAGCGGTCTTACCCAGAGCTGCACAAAATACAACACAAAGCAGAGGCAGCACAATGCAAAAGGTAGAGAATGCGCAAGACCAGCACACCTGCAAGATTTCTGGCCCACGTTAGGGTCACCAGCGTAGATCACACATGACTGGCTGCCAGCAGAGCCAGACGGCACAAGCATGCACTGATTCCCTCTCTCCCCTGACCCCACCCTGAGTACACCGTGAAAGCAAGAGAGGAGTTCGTGGCTCCGAGATGGTGAGACACCTTCGGGCAGAAGATGTAGTTGAGTTCCAGTTGGGGAGGAAATGAAGCCTGGCACAAGGGGGAGGCAGAAGCAGGGGTGGAGATTGTGCGGAGATGACGTTTTCTGTTTGTGTGTCCTGTGCCCCGTAGTTCCCGCGGCTGTCCCATGGTCACGGGGGGAGAGGGAAGGAGCACACCTGTCGGCTTTGAAGAAGGCTTTGAAGAAAATAAACATTGAATTGAAGAAGGAACTTGTACAAGGGCACGAGTGTGGTGTTTGTGTGACTGCTCTGGCCTTGGAGTACAAGATGGTGCAGTTGATAACCTTGACTATTTTGAATAATAATGATGCCATCTAAAGAGCTGATGTGACAAAAGGAGTAATGATGTCAACCAGGCAAAGGACAGGAGTGCAGGAAGAGGTGAAAAACTTTCCTTAGTGTGGTTGAATGAGGAACGGCTGGCAGGGCGTAGCTTCAGAGAAGCTGTGATCTGTGAAAAAGCCAGGAAATTGCGCAGTGATTTACTGTATGAAAACCCCGCTCCAAACGCAACAAGTGATGAATTAAAGCCTGCGAAGGGCCATTTGATAGGTTCCACCAGAGAAGTGGCATCGGCAGTGTGACAAGACATGGGGAGGCTTCCAGATCTGACAGGGCCGCTGTAGAAACCTACAAAGAAATGCCCAGAATTCACAAAGGCAGAGAGACAGGTTGCTAACAAGTGTTCAACTGCGATGAATCAGGGCTCTTCTGGAAGCAGGTGCTAAGCAGAACTTGTATCACACAGGAGGAAAAGGCGCTGCCCGGACACAAGACCATGAAGGACAGAATGACCCTCCTGCTGTGTGCAGACACAAGTGCTGATCTAAAGATGATGGAAAAGGACCGAGGCACTCTAAGAGGACGCGGTGGTGTGTGGTTCGGGTTGTATACTGACTGGGCAAATGGCCAGGAGCCAGATATGTGATCAACACATTTGTATGTTTCTGTGAAAATGTTTTCTAGATGAGATTAACACTTAAATCAGCAGACTTTCAGTAAAGCAGATGACCTCCAAAGTGTCGGCAGGCTTCAAGGAAGAGGAAATTCTGCCACCAAAGTAGACTTGAACTGCGATGTCTGTAACTCTTCCTGGTGTCGCTAGCCTAGCTTCTCCTGCAGATTTTAGACTTGCCAGTCTCTACAGTCATGTGAGCCGTTCCTTTCCTTAAAATCTCTCTGTTTCGTATTAGTATATTCTATGTACAAATATAGACATATCCCATTTGTCCTCTTTCTCTAGAAAGAGACTAATACAGGTAGTATGCTACAGGAAGCTATTACTATGTCCAATTATATTTATTTCTTAGTCACCTTCCTAAAAAATTCTTAGTGAAACTTTTATAATATGTGTGATTTATTAGTATAGTGTATGCTGTATAATTTTAGATTAAGTATCTGTATTTGCATGTTCAGTTAAACTAATATGGGTACATGGCCAAAAAGTCTGAAGATCACTAGACTAATATATACACAAGTCCATAATGAGAATTATAATGTACAATAAAAGGGACAAGAAGGTAGGCAGAGAAGTGAAAGCCAGTAGACAGTAAGCTATGCTGGGCAGGGTGGCACACACCTATAATCCCAGCCCTTAGGTGGCTGAAGCAGGAGGATCACTGCAAGTTTGAGACCAGTCTGGGCTACAAAGTGAGCTCAATGCCAGCCTGCACTGCATAGTGACCCCATGTCTCAAAAAGACAAAAAAAAAAAAGTAAGTAAGCTGAAGTGCTTACTTAGTTTTGAGGACAGACACAAGCATTGATGAGCTTCGGATATTGATGGAGAGAATAAATATTATTTATAAAAGAACTGTATATAATTCATTGTAAAGTACTTGAATTTAAGGATTTTAATTACTTTTTTATTTTAGTTTGTAAAATCAAATTAAGGCTCCCTCAGTTATCGATAAAGAAATATATGTGCAGATGGCCACAAGCACATTTCAATGATAAATAGAAATCACTGAAGTAGTTGCAAAATGAAGTTTATAATACCTTAGAGCAAGAGAAGAAAATGTATAAATAGCTATTTACATTTATTTTTATCTCATACGTACTAATTTGTACCTTTGTGTGAAAAGAAGCAAAACAGATGTGTAATTTATTAACGAATAAATTATTAACGAATAGATGTGTAATTATTAACCCGTGTCTGACATGGGTGCTGTGGTTTTGTGGAGCACACTGCTTCGGAGGACAATGCCTGAACAGAGGCTCTTCCTAGCTGAGAGTCTACTCACTACACCTGCTCTCCCTGGCAGTGCCTCGCTATCCTTGGCATCAGTGTAGCTCAGCACGCATGCCCTGTGATAGGCCCTCCTGGGGAGTATGGCTAGCAGGCAATCCTCCTCTCATTTACAGGGAGAGGCACCCTGCACGTGTGTGCAGCTGATGGATTCTAAGTCCCTCAGTTACTGGTGATTTGTCCAGAGCTAATTTAACTTGGAACTAGAGTTAGATTAATAAGATTTACTATCTCAGAAATTTGGATTCAGAGGCACTAGCTAAATTGTGTGCATCAGTATGTGCAAAGAACTGTGACTCTGGGTGTTAAAGGGCAGGCACTTTTTCCTAGAAGTAAAGGACTTGCATCCTTGCTTAGTTTGTGCTTGGTACCACATCGCTGAGCTTTAGTTAGTCTCCAAAGAACTGTAGTGTGGATGTCTTTTTCTCCCAACTTTTAATTTTGAAAAATTTCAAATGTACAGAAAGTTCAAAGAATAGTACAAAAAAACCTACAACTGTATATTCCCTTTCCTAGACTGTTAATACTTTGCTGGTTTACTTAATCCCTACACACATGCACACACACACACACACACACACACACACACACAGAGTTGAGCTTTAATATTTGAAATTACACTGCAGACATAATGGACATAATGGCACAAAGACACATTGCTCCTACATACTTTGAAATGTGCATCCTAAGAATAAGAGTCTCCTTCATAATCTCATAATATCATCATCACAGCAAAGAAATCTAGTATTAATTCATTACCATCTACCATACAGTGCATCTTCAACTTTTCCTATTTGACACAAAAATGTCTCTTAACACTGTTCCAGCTTGCAAACAGCTTGCTCGGCAGAGAGGTTGAAATTGACATCAACCTCCTGAGTATATAAATAAATGCTCTGCAGTTCTTGGGCAGTTCCTTTCCTCTCATCCAGAGAGGGCTCCACCTGACCTCAGCTTTCATCTCTTGTCTTTATTTCTAAATCCTCTCACTGTTTTTCCCCAAGAACATCAAGAGCCGTGCTGGTTTGTGGCACTGCATCACATGGGGCAAGCTCGTCTTGTCACAGGAGATGTTAACTCCATGTGACAGGAACCCAGAAGAAAGCAGGTGTAGTTAATCTGTTTGCAGACAACATGAACTTCAAACCAAGAACAATCAAAACAGATAAAGAAGGTCACTACATACTTGTGAGGTAAAAACTTCAAGAGGAAGAGATAACAATCCTAAACATCTATGCACCAAATACAGGAGCACCCAACTATATAAGACAAATTTTAACAGACATGAAAAATGACATAGGCAGCAGCACAACCATAACAGGGGACTTTAATACCTCATTGTCAAAGAGATAGATCAACTAGACAAAAAAATCAGCAAAGAAATAACAAAACTAAACCAAACTTGTGAACAAATGGACTTAGTAGACCTTTACAGAGTGTTCCACCCAAAAGCATCAAAATACACATTCTTATCAGCTGCACATGGGATAGTCTCTAAAATAGACCATATGCTAGATGTTTAAGTAAATTCAAAGAAATCAAAATTATCCCATGCATACTATCAGACCATAGTGCAATGAAATTGGAAATTAATGACAAAAGAAATCATAAAAATTCCATAAACACATGGAAATTAAATAATACCCTCCTGAGCAACCAAAAGGTCACAGATGAAATCAAAGTAGAAACTAAACAATATTTACAATCAAACAAGAATGTAGATACAGTTTACAGGCACCTGTGGGATGCGATGAAAGCAGTCCTCTGAGGGAAATTTATAGTGGTGAATTCCCACATCACGAAAACAGAACAAGCACAAGTAAACAATCTTATGCTGCACTTCAAGCTTCTAGAAAAAGAAGAGCAAGTCAAACCCAAAGCCCAAAGAAGACAGGAAATTATTAAGCTCAGTGCAGAAATTAATGCAATGGAGACTAAAAACAATACAAAGAATTAATGAATCAAAGAGTTGGTTCTTTGAAAGAATAAATAAAACAGATAAACCCCTAGCCCACCTTATCAAAAAAGAAAAGAAAAAAGCTGAAATACATGAAGTAAGGAATGAAAGAGTTGAAATCACTACAGATCCTGTAGAAATTCAGAAGGTCATCAATACCAACTTTGAAAATCTTTACTCTCATAGGATGGAAAACACAGAGGAAATGGATGATTTTGAGATACATATGAATTACCAAACCTGAATGAAGAAGATATGAAAATCCTGAATAACTCAATATCAGCCAGTGACATTGAGAATGTAACAAAAAACTTGCCAATGAAGAAAAGTCCAGGTCTTGATGGATTCACAGCTGAGTTCTACAAGAAATTGAGAGCAGATTTGACACCAATTCTTCTCAAATTCTTTAATGAAATTGAAAAGGAAGGAATTCTCCCCAACTCATTCCTAGAGACAAGTATTATCCTGATACCAAAACCAGAGAAAGACCCAACCAAAAAAGAGAACTATAGACCAGTCTCCCTAAGGAATATAGATGCAAAAATTCTCAATAAAATACTAGCAAACAGAATACAAGTCATCAAGAAGATTATACACCACGACCAAGTGGGATTCATACCAGGAATGCAGGGATGGTTCAATATACACAAATCAATTAGTGTAATACCCCACATCAATAGAGCCAGAAACAAAAATCACATGATCATCTCAATTGATGCAGAAAAAGATTTTGATAAAGTCCAACACTTATTTACAATGAAAATCCTACAGAAAATAGGAATAGATGGTGTTTACCTCAA